TTAGCGGATGCATCAGGTACTGCAGCGGGAGCAGCAACCAGGGAAGAGCGTAGATGATTATCTGCACGCGATGCAAACCCTTGCTTCTCGCCTGAGGAAGCCGATGCCGGAGCGTCACCTGGTTAAGGTGATGAAAAAAGGGTTAAGAGAAGGGATCGCTCGCTTCATGTATGCGATGCAGTTACTCACTGTGGATGAGCTGCGGCAGGAGAGCCTCGAGGTGGAGCGTACCTTCGGACGCAGAGCTCGGGCCCAATTCCCACCACCAACGCGCTACCAAGGAGCGGAACGGAACCGAGTCAGCGAGGGGTTTGCTCTAAAGCCAGAGGAGAATGAAGATGAGCACTCACTAAAAGTGCAGGAAGTCCAGGAGCGGCCTCGAAATCCATTCTGGGCTGGCTGCTGGAATTGTGGATCCATGGACCACGGTTTTCGGGATTGCGGGCAGGAACTGAAAAAAGATTTTTGTTTCCGTTGCGGGAAGGCCGACACCGTCGCTCCGAAGTGCCCGAATTGTATGGGAAACGGACGGCGGGGCGATCCCAGAGCGGAAGGGGCTCGCCCAACGCGGAATTCCGCGCAGTAGGAGACCCTAAAAATAACAAGATAGACATTAAGGATAATTCTAAAAATAATTTAAGATACTTACCCTATAAAGAGCGCATTTGGCGGTATTTAGAGGTCAGGAACCGTATATTCGAGGAGTATCAGCTGAGCGGCATGCGTGAGGTCTCCCGGCGGTTCGAAAGGCACGAGATCGGTTCCGGAAACGATAGCGGAAGCGCCGAGAGGTCGTCGCGGCCGTCAAGCGGGGCGGCACCCAGGATCCCAGACCGTTCGCCCGAGTAAAGATTTCAGGCCAGCAGCTGACTGGGTTGTTGGACACCGGAGCGAGCGTCAGTCTCCTCGGAAAAGGCTGCAGGGAACTGGTGGACGCGATGGGTGTGCCGGTGCAGAGGTACTTCTCGATGGTGCGAACTGCCGCTGGAGAGGATCGATCGATCATCGGCCGGATAGAGGTACCTGTGGAGTATGAGTGAAGGGTAGAAAACATTCATTTCTATCTGTGCCCTTTCTGGAACAAACGGCATACCTCGGCGTCGACTTTTGGCGGGCGTTTGACCTGGCCCCGGCCGTAGTTGGAGATATCCCTGCTCAAGGGGTGAAGAAAGCCGAAGAAGTTCACGCCAGGGAGATGGAGCACTACGCCGACCAGGAAGATGACGACGAGGAAATGACAGACCCCGAATCCTGGACATTATCTGAAGCCGAGAACCGAGAGCTAGAGGCGATCAAGCAGAGGTCCCTCACCTTCGAGAAGGATGGTTTGGGAACGACTGGCCTGGAGAAACACTCCATAGAGCTGGTGGAAGGCTCCAAAATTTTCAAAGACCGACCCTACCCGATGTCGCCAGCGAAGCCAAAAGTGGTCGAGGACGAAGTCGACAAGATGCTAGCCCTGGGAGTCATCGAGGAGAGCAAGAGCCCTTGGAGCAACCGGACGACGGTGGTGTCGAAGCCTGGAAAGGATAGATTCTGTTTAGGCGCCAGGAAACTAAATGACGTGACCGTCAAGGACGCGTACCCCTTGCCTAGTATCGATGGAATCCTGTCCAGAATCGATCAAACGCATTTCATCTCCAGCGTGGATTTGAAATTTGCGTTCTGGCAGATCGAACTGGACGAGAAGAGCAAGGAGTTGACGGCGTTCACAGTTCCTGGTCGGCCCCTCTACCAATTCAGGGTGATGCCTTTCGGGCTCTGTAATGCGGCACAGAGGCTGGTGAGACTCATGGATCGAGTAATCCCAGCCGAGATCCGATCCAACGTATTTGTATACTTGGACGATCTGCTCATTCTGGCCTCGGACATCGAGACGCACTTCCGATACCTACGACGAGTCGCCGAATGCCTAAGAGAAGCAGGATTAACTATCGGCATGAATAAATCTAAATTCTGCTTCAAGTCTTTGACTTACTTGGGTTTGTCGTGGGTGGAGGTCGTCTGAGCATGGATCCCGGTAGAGTGGCGGCAATCAGGAGGATGCCGGAGCCGAGGTCGATGAAGGAGGGGCGCGCGTTTCTGGGAACAGCAGGCTGGTATCGGAGATTCGTTCGAAACTTCGCAACGCTAGCAGCGCCGTTGACCGAATCCCTCAAGAAAACTGGGAACAAGTTTTCCTTGAGTCCGGAAGCGCAGCTGGCGGTTGAAGCCTTGAAGATGGCGCTAACCACGGCACCAGTACTGGTGCACGCCGATCTCAAGCGGCATTTCTATATTCAGTGTGATGCATCACACATCGGGGTTGGAGCCGTTCTTTTCCAAAAGAACGAGGAGAACCAGGAGCAGCCGATAGCATTCTTCTCGGCGAAGATGAACAAGCACCAGGTGAATTACACCGTCACCGAGAAAGAGTGCCTGGCAGCCCTCCTGGCGATCCGGAAGTTCCGACCATATGTGAAAGGCATGCCGTTTACGTGCATCACGGATCACGCCAGCTTGAAGTGGTTGATGCCCATGAACGATCTGTCGGGACGCCTGGCCAGGTGGTCTCTGCAGCTCCAGGGGTTCAACTTTACCATAGAACACCAGAAAGGCAGCGAGAACGTGGTGGCAGACACGCTTTCGCGATGCGTGGAGGAGATCTCTGTGGACCTGACAGAGTTGCTGAGTTTTGAGACCACCGAATTTGCTGGAAAGGAGTACCAGGAGTTAGTCCAAGAGATCCTGGGCAACGAGGATGACTTACCGGATCTTAGGATTGAGGACGGGCTCATCTTCAAGCGAACCTCCCCGGCAACTTTGGACGACGAGGTGGACGGATCAGCGTGGAAGCTCTGGATACCGCCGAGTCTGACCCACAGCCTGGTAGAGCGAGCCCATACGGACCCAAAGGCAGCTCACGGCGGAATGGGGAAGGCACTGGAGATCCTTCGGAGGCAGTTCTACTGGCCCGGGATGGTGCTGCAGGTTCGGGAATTTGTTCGCAGATGCCAGGTCTGCAAGGAGTCGAAGGCGCCGAATCACCGTATGATGGTCGGAATCGGTGAGCGAGTACAGACTGAGCGGCCATTCCAGAAGCTGTACATCGACTTCCTTGACAAGTACCCGAGGTCGAAGAAAGGGCATGCCTTGATCTTCATTGTGGTGGACCACTTTTCAAAATACACGTTCTTGAAGGCCATGAAGGAAGCGACAGCCTCAAATGTTGTGGATTTCCTCATAAACGAGGTCTTCTACAAGTTCGGGGTCCCAGAGATGGTGCATTCGGACGATAGACGACAGTTTGTGTCGAAGATCTTCGAGGAGGCCATGGAGAGCTTTGGGATTAGGCACTTAAAAACTCCGATATACTCTCCACAGAGCAACGCAGCGGAGCGAGTGAATCGGAGCGTTCTGGCGGCTATCCGAGGGTTCCTGGAGAACGATCATAGGAAATGGGATGCCTACCTTCCCGAGATCGAAGTGGCCCTCCGGAACGCAGTCCACTCGGCTACGGGCGAAGCACCGTTTTTCACGCTGTTCGGACACCACATGTTCCTGCATGGATCCAGCTACCGATTGGCCAGGAAGCTGCAGTCTCTGTGCGACCATGAGATGGCCGGTATGCCAACGGCCGACAAGCTCCGAGTCGTGCAGGAGGAAGTGCGCAAGTGTCTGGAGGCCTCGTATGACCGCTGTCGCCGACGCTATAACCAGAGGGCCAGAGAGTTCGCCGCAAAGCCAGGCCAGGAGGTGTATCGCCGGAATTTCGTTCTTAACGACTTCGGAAGGCAATTTAACGCCAAGTTTGCCAAGAAGTTCCTCAAGGCCAGGGTGGTGAGGACGATAGGCAGCAACGCGTACGAGCTCGAGGACATGCAGGGCCGGAGTTTGGGTGTATACCACGCCAAAGATATCCGCGTGTGACCTGGAAGAGGGATCACATAAGTACACATGGACCAGACTCTGGAGAAAGGGTACTTCCCGTAAGACGTGGGCCCCGCGTTGGGCACCGTACGGAACTGCGCTGGAGATACAGATCTAAATGCTCCCAATGATCCTGTCGAGCCGCTGGAAGCCAGCAGCAGCTCCCCATATCCTTGGGTGGTGTTGCATTTCGGGTGGGAACGGGCTGAAGGACTATCGATATATCGATAGGGATAGGTGGAATTGGTAGGACCAGGAGGCGGCGAGGAAAATGAGCGAACCGGGAAGTTCGAATGCGACCTAAGAGAAAGGGTTCTTGCCCTTTCTCTCGGCAAGGGCAACGAAAAGTAACGGCTGGAGTCTGGAACAGAGGAAAGGAACCGGGCTATAAAGGGAGGTGCGAGCGGAAAAAAAAGGGGAGAAAAAATCTGGATGGATAACGTGATGCGTGATTTTCGGGCGGTTAACTTCGGAAAGAAAAAAACGTGATCCCGGAATCAAGTTGGAGACGTGACCGATCGCCACCCAGTGCCGTTTGCCTGAGCCGTCGCCTCAGAGCCACCCAGTGCCGTTTTCCTGAGCCGTCGCCTCAGAGCCACCCAGTGCCGTTTTTCCAGAGCCGTCGCCCGAGCTGCTGGCCACCGCGTCGCCGCCGCCGCAAGCCAAGTCCGCCGGCAAACGCAAACGTCGCCGCCGCTGCCGCAACCAACAACCACCGGCCAGAGCTGCCGCAACCAACACCTACCGGCCAGAGCTGCCGCAACCAACAACCACCGGCCAGAGTGACCGGCGCAGCCAAGTCCGCCGGCCGGAGCCAACTTCGGAGCCGTCGCCGCCGCCGCAGTCCAAAGACGACCCCAGATCCGCTGAGCCGCCGCCGCAACACAGTTCCGCCACCCAGAGCAGCCGGCTGAGCCACTGCAGGAAATTCACTTCAGCTGCTGCCATCCGGTGAGTCCGTTCCGGATGGGACGAAATAAGGGGCGAATTGCGTATTAATTTCTGCCCAGGCAGCTGCCGCCGACCTGCGGGCAGCCCTAACCACCCGGCGCCAAACCAGGGCGAGCTGGGATAAAAGAAAAAAATTTAAGTTGTTGTTGTTAGGTGTAAGATATTAGTGTTATTGTTAGTTAGTGTTAGATGTAAGGTATTAGTGTGTTTGTCTCGCCCTCCGGATTGATCGTATCCTGGGTCCGGGATTGGTGCAACCCATGCGCTGCGACCAATAGGGGAACGGGGAAGAAGCCATTAAGAAGCTCTCAGTTTTGTTTGAACCCCGACCCTAGGCTATTTCTCATGGACCTCCAGCAGGGATAGTAGGTGGAAGAGGGAAAATTTCTTGTTAGCCAATCGTGGCCAATTGGTGGCCAAAAAGCTTCTCCTCCGCCAACGTTGTCGGTCCCCAATAAAAGGCAGCCTTGGTGCAAGCGCATCCCTGGCTGAGGCCACGTTCTCTCCGTGGACGAGTTGGCGCCTAAAACCATATTTGTAACTCTGTTAGATGTAAGATGCCAAAAATTTATAATCAATAGCCAGTAAAAGATTAAAATGAAAATGGAGTAAGTTTTACCTGGGAGGAGATGGGCCAGTCGCTAGACCGCCTGGAGTAAGCTCCGGCATGCCGGAGATGGGTGATGCCCCGAAATGTGGAGGAGGCATCACTGGATGGGTGGGCGCGTCGTGGCGGAACCAGCCAAGCCACAAATTCAACCCAGCAGCTTAATTTTTGTTGTTTGTTTACCTTTTTGTATTGTTAGTGATGACACTTGTAGTTTAGTCCGAGACGTCCGATTAATTCGGTATTTTAAATTGTGCGGACTGCGGGCCTTGGGTCGGACCCAGCCCTGGGCACCCTGAGCTAGCCCGGCGTTGCCCAAAGAAAGGCAGTTCCTTTACAATACTCTCACTCGTATATATATCGAAATGGGCCGGATCGGACAACTATCATATAGCTGCCATAAGAATGATCGGAAAAGTTTCAGAAAAAAAATTTTAACATTTTCAGTTTTCAATAGAATTGGATCAAATTTAAAATATACTCTTCAATTTTGTGAAAAATTTTATGAAAATCGGACTACTATATCATATAGATTCCATAGGAACGATCGAGAAATTAATACAATTAAAAATTATAACTTTTTCAGTTTTCAAAAGATTTTCATCAAATTTGAGGTCTAGCCATTTTATATTAGTCTTAAATTTTATGTCAAACACCATGAAAATCGGACGACAATATTATTTAGGTGCCATAAAAACGATCGTTTGATGTAGAAGAAAAATGAAAATCTGTGAATGTAAAGCTCCAAATATAATATGTATAGGTGAATGAAATGAAAGCAGGTATTACTTCATTGTTTTTTAGCACAAATATATATAATTTATTCCTATTCCTATACATAGAAGTTCAATCTGCAAGGGTATATAAACGTCGGCGTGCCGAAGTTAGCTTCCTTTCTTGTTATTTATTTTTTTAAATAAATTATGCCGAATGGGTATTCGAATATTTGGGTATATATCCGTGTTAAACTTTCAGCCTCGGCTGAGATATTTAACCCTCAATTATGTAATATAAGTTCAATCAATTAATGAGGCAATTAATTATGATATTAATAAGCAGTGGAGCTGCAGCGCATATAAATAAAATGAAATAGATATATATAAATAGATATATATATATATATATATAGATACAGATATAGGGAGTGGATGTGTGTATGGTTTAGCTCACTTACATGATCCCGATTTTTTTAACGTTGAGCGCCAATTATTAAAAGGTATATGGTTATCCCAAATTGAATAAATATGGATATCCCACGCCGCGGTCAATGTCACAGGTGCAAAGAGGTGCCGGGGGAGCTCGGCCGTTGTTCACACACGGACGGATGCCGCGTTCTTTAAGCAAGGGGTACTGCAGGGTATTCTGCTCTGGACGCCAGTTAACATTTTTTCATATACTAGCTGACAGGCAGACAGTCTTAAACTTTTAAACATTAATATCTATTTTTCTGAATTATAAATACTTTCAATTTCAATTTAATTTAACACCAATCGGTGCACATTGTTTTTGGTTAACCTGTCTTTAGCAAACACAAATAGATTTGACGGTTTCCCAACACTTGAACACTCAACATATAGTTGCCCATGAGAAAAACATGGATTTTCCAAATCTAAATCACAAATGCACATTGTTTGACCTTGAGATTTATTTATAGACATGGTGAAAGCTAAACGAATTGGGAACAGTAGCCTTTTGAAGGGTATGGTAGAATCTGATGGTATTATCGGAATATGTACGTGAGAGCAGGACCACTTTTCCCTTAAACTTCCCAGCCAAAATGGTTGCTTCAAGAATGTTTCCGATTATCTTTTTGATGACCAAACGCGTACCGTTTCATAATTGAGGTGGATTCAAATTACGGAGGAGAATAATATATTTTTAATCGAAGATTATGTGGTGGCATTCCAGGGAATGAATTTAATGAATGAATAATGAATTTAAAAATTCAATCGGAAAATTTACACTTTCATTTTCATCAACAACAGTTTCGATTGATTTAAAAGACATCAGATCGCCTGGTAACAACTTTTGTATCTGGAAGTTAATTTCGTCAATTTAATTTTGGCAGCCAAAATCGCCAGTTGACTAAGACATTAATGATTCAAATAATTATTCTGTATATCCGGGAAAATACTCTGAATCAATACATTTTTATCCTGAACAACAGTGCAAAAATTGTCTAATAGTTTAATGCATTGCGTATTTGGTTGCAGTTCTATTTTACCGTTCCCAATATCTAGTAGTTGTTCGGAAAATATTTGCGCTGATGGAACATTTTGCAATTGTACTCGCATATTTATGGTCAATCGAAGTGTTTCAACACTTCGCCATAAGAATGATTGTTTCAAACATGCATTAATCTCATCCGCGAAAGTAGAGCGAGGTATAACCGGTAAGGTGTGCCGGAAGTCACCAGACAAAAGTAAGATAGCACCACCGAAAAGTTTATTATTGCTGTTTAAATCTTGCATAGTTCTGTTTAATGCTTCAAGTGAATATTTGTGTGCCATTGTGCACTCATCCCAAATTATTATTGAACTCTTCCGCAACACTGCAGCTATTCCACTATTCTTTTTGATGGTACACATTGCATCTGATTTATTATGAACGTCCAATGGCAGCTTGAATGTTGAATGTGCTGTTCGCCCGGCTATGCTAGCACCAAAAATTTAAAAAGTGGAAATAATTGAATTATACGGTATTTCGTTCACAACAAAATAAATTAAATTAATTTTAAGCTGTTAAAATGTAGATTATATGATACGTTCGTAGATTTACCATAGCAGCGCCATCTATTGACTACTTACTCAACCCATTCGAAAGGTATCGACATCTGTTCATCATTTCATTTCATTTCATTTGGAGTTAACGGATAATTGTGACTGTCAAATAATAACAGACAAATAATTAGCAATATTAAAATTGGGACTATAAATAGAGATTTAAACTATACTATCTCTCAAGTTGGATCGAACTGCACATGGTGTGCGAATTTTATTATAATCGGCTAAGTGGTTTAGGAGTCTATTGATGACAAACTTTGTGACACGAGATTTATATATATTAAGAAGATAAGATATTGCTACATAAGGGCACACATACAGTCCCAAGAGTCAGCGATGTCGTGAAATTTATTTCGTCTCCTTTTTGCTCATACACCGTGCACATCCACCTGCACTCATATGGCAAAGAACGGTAATACAGTGCAGACGAGACAGAATTGGGCGGTTTTTTTTACACAATTATTTCGAATTTTTCTGGTGTTCCAAAGACAAAAGCTAAGTTATCCACTTATCCGATGACTAGGAATCAATACAATATAAATTATATTTATTTATTTAAAAAAACAATGAAGTAATATCAATATCGCAGCTGAGGGGTTAATCCAGCTGTGTCTGCACGGAGCCTTCCCAGGGCCAGGCAACCCTGGGTCGTAAGTGGCCTTGCCGCAGCTTTGGGGCGAAGCTGCGGTCATTCTTTATTTAAAGCCCCAAACCCCCTCTGGCCCGCTGCGCTTGCCAGGACGAGCAAAGCGGGCGTTCATGAAATGCAATGAATACATCAAACCGAGCTTCGGAACTCCCAGGAGAGGATAAACCCGGATAAAACGGCAAGATAGCCAAGAACGAGGCTGAGGGCAAGACAGACCATCGGGATGCCGAGGACAAGGCCAAATTCCTTGCGGAGATCGCGGAATTTGAGCAATACAAAGCGGCAAACCCGGCGGCGTTCCAGCCCTCGAAGGCGAAGCGAATTCGCTCACAGAAAGTGAGCGAATGCGCACCTAAGAGAGCGAAGGACCCACAGGGTAAGCCGCGTGCGACTAACTTTGTCAGCAAGGCAAAGAAATTTAGCGAGGTGGCCAGAGACAGTCTGGCTATGGCACTGGTAGACGAGCTCCATGACGACGGTCGCCTGCTGTCGGAAAAGTGGGAGGAGATGGAGGCCAATTTGGCCGACATGGTGACCGACAGGTTGGTTAACATGCCGACCGGCCCCATCCCCTCCTTCGACTCCTCAGACGTGGTCAGAGGGCACCGGGTCATCAGGTGCGACGACGGGTTCTCCCGAAGCTTCCTGGTGGAGTGTGTGGCTAAGATTAGCGGCACATGGGCTGGCCTTAAGATTAGGCTAGCCCACGCCAGGGAGATCCCACGGAGACCCAGAGCTCGCATCTGGTTACCAAAGGGGCAATTCGACCACGCCAGGGTGATTGCCTGTCTAAGGGCACAGAACCCAGACATTCATACAGAGGACTGGACCATTCTCAGAGCAGAGCAGGAAATGAAGGCGAGTCAGCCTTTCCTCCTGCTGATAGACAAGCGCTGTCTGCCTCAGCTGGAGGCCAATGACCACAAGGTCCGGTATGGCATCAGGAAGGCCAAGATAAAGGTCTTCTTGGCCGAGCCGGACGAGATTTTGGAGGAGGTCGATGACACCAACAAATTGTTGGATGACATGGTCATCGACGAACAATCTCCTGACGCCACCCCACCAACATCGTGCAGATTAATCTGAAGCGCAGCTCGCACGCTTCAGCTAATCTCACGATCCTTCTAAGGGAGAGGGATATCGACATCGGTTTGATACAGGAGCCTTGGACCAGGGACTGGCAAGTCGCTGGACTGAGAATCCAAGGATACACACTACTGTGCTATATCTCAGCACACATGACCTAGCAGTGGCCAGATTCGTGGCGGCGAATGGGAGCGGAGTCACCATTGCATCGGCATACATGGCCAATGACGAACAGGCCCCGCCTGAGCCGGAAGTCAAGCTGCTGCAATGGGCGGAAGTGATAAAGACGACCCTGGTGCTCGGGTGTGATGCGAATGCGAGGCACACGCTCTGGGGGAGTTCGGAGACTAACGAAAGAGGTGAGTCACTCTTTGACAATATTATTTGTAAAAATGTTACGATATGTAATAAGGAAGCACGGAAAATTTTCAAGGTTGGGAAGAGGTGTTAGACCTCACCTTACATATAGAACAGAACAATTACAGGGTCGAGAACTGGAGGGTATCGACAGAACACTCCTTCTCAGACCATTGATAAATTTTCTTTGAAATAACGACACCAGTTAAGAAACAGGTGCCAAGAAGAAACCCCCGTGGAACAATTTTCAGCGAAAAGGCACTCGATAGGGAGGTGAAGGACCTAACAAATATTCT